TGCAAGGATTCATTAAGCTACTCGACCATGTCTGGAGTTTTGTAATCAATGTATCTTCCAGTAGGTTTCAAAACACACTCTGCCAACAAAACCAACCCAAGTTCAAATTTATCTTCTTAATGTTGACAAAGATGAAATGCTTCAGAAAGCATAATCGTACTAATTCTCCTCGCACCATTAAAATATTGATTTCTAAGTCAATTGTTGAAATCAAGATTAATGGATACCTCGTGGCAAAGTAATCTGACAAAACTCATGCAAGCTAAAGCGAGCCAAATGGTTTATCTAATTTCACCAAAAGTGCATTGTTCTTACCGCAATCTACAAGCCTCATTAAGAACTCATAAACCAATTTACTACTAAATTGTTGTTCTTCCCCTACTCTATAAATCACTCCATATATAAATTCATGAAAGTTAATACACGATAAAAATGCTTGTTGATTTGCACTAATCAGCTCTACATTATCTTTGATATATTGATAATTTGGAAATGGAGTGATTATAGCAGAGAACCAGTGATCTGAAGATAGTATATATTCCAACATCTGCTCAAATTATTAAAAAAAAGACACCATTTAATAATTTTAAAAAACACGAGTTTCGTGTCTCTGAGACACGATACGAAGATGTGTGTCTCCGAGATCCGTGTCTCGAACATACTATCATTGCCAGACCATGTCTCGGAGACACCGTCGAGACACGAAGACCATGTCTCGGATCCGTGTCTCGAGACCGTGGTGTGTCTCCGAGATCCGTGTCTCGAACACACTATCATTGCCAGACCATGTCTCGGAGACACCGTCGAGACACGGTATGGATCCGTACCCATGGGGAGACCGATCTGCTCTCCGCGCGCGCACAAACTTTTTCCCGCCTCGGGAAGAAAAGTCACCTTTTTAGCAGTGAAGTTAGTGAAGATGATGAAATGTCCCATTCCTTCTTCTTCCTTCTTGAGTGAAATGTGTGTAAGCAAAGTTAGAATATTGTATTTGTAATAATATATGTGTACACCCAAAATAATTCATCATTCATCTACAATCTTTTTCTCTTCAACTTTACTTTTCAATTCCAAATATTATTATTTTTTTTTACGAAGTAGATGAGCATTTAATGAAACGAGTATCTTTAAAATAGCTATTTTATTTAAAATCTTCCTCAGCACCAACAACTATTGCCATTTTTGAAATACCTTGCAACTTACAACCCGAAAAAACACAAATCTTTGCACTTCTCGTTATTTTATATGGATTATAATTTCAAATACACCAATTAAGCTGAATCCACATTACCTAATAGAAACAAAATAAAATAGTTTAAATTACAAACCCAAAAATCGGAGACAAGTCTCAATTTCAATAAAAATCCTAACGGACATGGCGACCACTGTTTTGTGACGATGGGATTGGATGTGTATTAAATTTTTTCTTCCTTTGTCGATTTGATTTGGGAGACAGTAGGTATGGGGTGAGTTTTGGTAACGGGATGGGAGGTGTATTAATATACCTAATTTTTGATTTAAAAAAATTATTATTACTTGTTTTCTAAATTTGAAACTTAAAATTTAGAGACTTAAGTAATTATCTCGTTTAATTAAATTTTGGAAATGGAGGCTTAAAATGTTGAAAATCGAGTAATTTCGACTTGAGAAAAATACATAATTATATTACATTAAAAATAAAATTTCATATTTATCAAACTTGTAAAGAAGTTTCACAAATCAAGTATTTTATATATATATAGCACAAATCACATTCAATAGGTCATGGTCATGCTAAAATTTTATGAAATACACCACCTCCACCTATATGTTACAAGTAAAATTCCGCTGTCACCGATACCACCCAAGTTGGCCACCACCTCAAATCCACAATCTCCTCACCAACTCTACCTCAATCCTTGTAGACTTCTACGAAAAGCCACAACGCAAAACATATGGTTGTCTTTATTTTGTATCTCTGTTTTTGTATGTATATATATTGTGAGAGTTTGTATTATATATATATATATATATATAGTGAGAGAAAGGTTTGTATCAATAAAGAGAAAAAAAGTTTTGTAGATACTTAAATGAGAGAGAGAGAGAGAGAGAGGGGGGGGCTTGTATTCGTAAAGATAGAGACGTAAATATCTTTGTAACGATGTAGGATGTGAGTAGGGGTAGGGATAGGGTCAATCACGATTCACATCTGACTCAATAGAGAGAGATGTGAGGTGAGTATATTATAGTGGGGTATATGTAAAATGGTATATTAAAAATTAAATATCTTCATTATCAACTGATTTGTGAAATTAAAATTAATCATTCTTATTTTTTAATAGTCTAGTTTATATGTAGGATTTTGGATAATTTTCTCTTTCAACTTCAAGAGAATTTTTATATGTGGAAATTATACCCAACTAAAACATTTGAGATTCAACTTCAAAAGGTTTATAGATTTTTACAAAAATCAGATGATAATATATTATTATTAATATTTAATAGTAATATTATAAAAATTAAATTGTTTTACATATCCACCCACTATTATCTACTCTTCAAACTCTAATTATTTTTCTCTCTTCATACCGCCGCCCCTTCCATTTTCTCTTCCTCTTCTTTCTCTCGTCCCTTTCCCTCCACACATGAACAGCTGTCGTCGCCGTCATCAACGCCCACTTCCAAGCCCCGTTGCACAGCATGGACCACCACCTTGTGCCGCTGTCCGTCTCCATCTTTCTCTTGGTCGTGTCCCGTTTATCTTTTCTCCGCTTCATTCCTTTCTTCGCCTCACGTCGCTGCTCCGTCTCTCTTTTCGATGTGTTGTGCAGAGAAGCACGACACACATATACCGACGCGATGCTTCCATCTCACTTTCAGACTATCGATGCAGCGCTCGCATAAGGTTCACTCACTTTAGACGACATCTTAGTAGTGTTCGCCAATCACTGCTTGCCTTAGAGAAATTATGTTTGGGTTTTGTTATTGGCTGTGTTGGTGTTGTGATGTGTGTAGTGATGGCAATGGGCCGAGCCGAGCTGGCTCGGCCCATTGCCCCACGAGCTCGGCTCGTTGCCTTACGAGCCGAGCTCGTGGCTCGTTACAAA